ATAAATGGTACATGATATGTTTTGTGACACTGGTAAATGATGATGAATGGTCATTATCGCATAGGAAATATAAGGACAACTGAAGTCCGCCGAGCTCTCCTGAACTCACAAGGTTGGAAAACGACCCCCCGCGACTTACCTTCCTAGGCGAGGGCCTCATGTTGAAAAGGAGCCGCCCTCCATCCTTGTAGCTGTTGCAAGCGTCGACAACGCGTTAAAACGAAAACGTCATCTCGCCCTTCATACTTATAGCTGCTGCAAACAAACGTATTTGCGCGGAGCTACGGCGAGAGCCCCACTTTGAATACGACCCCCCTCTACCCCTGTAGCTCTTGCAAAGAGTACGGGTGTGCGCGGCGCAAAAGCGAGAACACCATGTTGAGGACGACTCCCCACCCCCTCCACCCGTGCAACTGCTGCAGGCTTAAGGCTTCAAGTTTCAAGATCACAAATGGCGAACAGATCTCCGGCACAACGCCCGCTCCGCCCTACCGGGGGGAGGCAGAAAAGAGTGATCCGTGAGGAGAAGAGAGGAAGGAACGAAGAAGAAGAGGATGTAATGATGATGCGTCGGAGGAAAGAAGGAGGAGGGCTACCCCTTTCCACCTGTGCAACTGTTGCAGGCTTCAAGCTTCAAGCATCTCGACCATTAGCGGCGAACAGATCTCTGGCAAAACGCCCGCCCCGCCCTATACCGGGGGGCGCGGCAGGAAGGAGGATCCGTGAGGAGAAGGGAGGAGTGAACGAGGACGAAAAGGATGTGCTGATCGAGGAACGAGGACGGAGAGGATTAACGAGGCGTCGTTTGCGCAACACCCACATACACGGCGGAGAGGACGCGAGGAATGATCGATGAAGACAGGAGGGAGGGATCCAGGAGGAGACGGGAGGACTGAACGAGGACGACGAGGATGCAATGATGACGCGCAGGAGGGAGGGAAGGAGGAGGGCTGTGGAGACGGGGGAGGTGGACGCGGAGAGAGCTGCTGCCTGGCTCTCCTCCGCGCTCACCTCCGTGCGCCGCAGCTCGGTCGCCAGACTCCGCGCGTGAACCTGCAGCTTCGCGGCCAGTGTCCTGCGCGCTTGGCGGGCGCCCAACGGGAAGGCAGGGCGGGATCGCGAGACGGAGGGAGGCGGAGGATCAGGAGGACGGCGACGGCGAGGACGACCTGGAAGAAAAACGTAAATATCAGGTGAGGGAGGAGGGGGGGCGGAAAAGGAGGGAAGACATCGAGCCAGAGGAGGCGGAGGAAGAGGAGGGCGACGGGGAGGCGTAGTGGCCGGCAGGGCGGTCCTGTGATCTTGGTCTCTCGGGGGGGGGGGGGGGATGATTTCTTTGGGGTGGTTTGTGGGCGTTTGGTCCGATTGGCGGGTAAAAGCGCGGCGTGGTGGCATGCCCCCTGTAGCTTAGGAGCGTGGCCTGACGCGCGAGGTCAGGAACGCGGATTCCGCTCAAACCTCGCCTGCAGGGGCCTCTCGTGCACGTGAAACTATGACCTGCTGCAGCAGCTACCGAAAACAAAGTATTTTGTGGTCAGCGATTAAAGCGGAGGTCTAATAAGCTGAAGGTTTGGGCGGAGGTCTAATAAGCTGAAGGTTCTTGCCCTTGTGAATTATCGCTGGGATGGCGTCGAGCCCTTTTGGATCGGCACATCCCATGCGATGACTTCTGCGGGCACGAAAATCGAGCCCGCGGAATTTTTGGGCAGCTTCTAACGGGTCGCATGGCGCGCCCTCCCAGCGCTTCCCCTGCGGTGAGTCCCGCGGGCACCACAATCGAGCCCGCATAATCTCTGAGCAGCTTCCAGTGTCGAATGGCGGGCTCGCTCGGCGATGCATTCCGCAGTTCTTCTGGTCAATGCCCGCGGGGTTGAATGGCGTGCTCGGTCGGCACTTCCCCTGCGGTACGTTCCGCGGGCGCGAAAAGCGAGCCCGCGGAATCTCTGGGCAGTTCCCAAGTAGGCGGAATGGCGCGCTCGTCCGGCGCTTTCCCTGCGATGCATCTCCGAGGGCGCGAAAATCGAGCCCGCGCTTCGTCTGGGCAGTCTCCACAAAGTCAGACGGCGCGCTCGCTCGGCGCTTCCCCTGCAGCAATGACTTCCGAGGGCGCGAAAATCGAGCCTGCGGAATTCCAGGGCAATTCCCACCGGTTCTAACGGCGCGCTCGCCTGGCGCTTCCCCAGCTATGATGATACTGGGAAGTGCTACTCAGAGCCTTAGCAGTGAGGCCTACTACGAGTCTTACCAGGGAGCGACTCTAAGAGTCCTAGTACTTAGGGAGTCCCAGCTAGAGTCTAGAGTCTCATAAGTGGGGGTGTTAATTCTGGAATTCCAGTGGCATGCCCCGCTATTGGTCCTAGTAAGGAGTCCTACTGACGAGTCCGCGTGGATTGTTCGACTCTGGTCCTCGTAAGGAGTCGCATAAGAAGTCCTAGCAGGAAGTCCTAGCAGGAAGTCCTTCTAGGAGTGCGGGTAGGCGTCTCACCAAGACTCTGACCAAGGTTCTGACTAGGAGTTCTGGCAGGGAGTCCGACTCTCAGGGGAGCCCCATGAACAATTCTGCTATAGAGTGCTACGAAACTACTAAGAGTCCCAGCCGGGAGCCCTCCCATTGGAGTCTTAATCGGACGTGCTCACAGAAACCCTGGGCCCTGCCAGGATTCATTGTATCGGCGGTGGACAAACCTCCCTTTAGTAAACCTCCCCTTACTGAAAAGCGCCTGGGACCGAAACCGACGGAACTGGACCCGCAAAATGACGGCCGCGACGCCCCCTCGCGAAGCGAAAGCGGCCAATTCCTTAATCGACGTGTCAGGGCAGGAGGTCTGTCCACCCCCGATTGTACAGAGTCCGACGGGAGTCCGGCCGACAGTCGGAGGAAAAAAGCCGACCGGGGAGTCTTACTAAGAGTCTGGGCATGGAGTCGCGCCAAGACTCCCAGTATGGAACGTCACTAAGTGTTCGGGGGGGGCTCTAGCCAGAATATGACGAATGCGTCCTACTAAGAGTCCGCGCGGGGATCCGGATCGGACTAAGACTTCCAGTGGGGAGCCACACGACGAGTCCGAACAATACAAGTCTTACCCATCGTACTAGCAGGGAACTCGTAGGGAGTCCCAGTCGGAGTCTTACTGGGGAGTTCCACGAAGGGTCCCAGTAGGGAATCTTGCTAGCTGCTAACACAAGGGAAATGCCAAAGTGTCCGCTGCCGAACGTCGGCTCCCCTCAGCGCGCTTGCATGCACCTGCCGGGAACGCGCGGTTATCTGTGCCCTGCTGAATTCGCGGGGTGCTTGTAAGAGGGTCGCATGGCGTGCTCGCTCGGCGCTTCCCCTGCGATGAATTCCATGGGAGCGGACATGGGCAATTTCCAACGGGTTGAATGGCGCGTCCGCTCGGCGCTTCCCCTGCGATGAATTCCGCGGGCACGAAAATCGAGATCGCGGAGTTTAGGCAATTTCCACAAGGTCGAATGGCGCGTTCGCTCGGCGCTTCCGCTAGGGTGAATTCCGCGGGCACGGCAAGCGAACCCGCGGAATTGCTGGGCAACTTCCCAAGGGCCGAATCGCGCGCTCGCTCGGCGCATCCTCCGCGGTGAATGCTGCGGCCACGAATATCGAGCCCGCGGAATTGCTGGGCAACTTCCAGGGCAACTTCCACAGGGTCGAATGGCGCGTTTGCCCAGCGCTTCCCCGGAGATGCGACTGGGAAGTCCTGCTAAGATTCGTAGCAGTGAGGCCTACTGCGAGTCTCAGTGGGGAGCGATGCTAAGAGTTCTCGCGAGGGGTCCTAGAAACAACTCGACTCAGATTCTTGGTAAAGGGCCTTGCTAAGCAGTCCTGGTAGGGATCCTTGGCAACGGGCCTAGTAGGGACTCCCGTTGAAGAGACCACGTTGGGAGTCGGAATAAGAATCTTCGGGCAGGGGGTCGCGCTAACAGTCGTAGTGCCAAGGGAGTCCTTCTAGGAGTGCTCGTAGGGAGTCGTACTCAGAGCTTGTGCACGGGCCCCACTAAGAGTTCTTGCGAGGAGACCCAACTTTACGGACCGGGTGCTGGCATGACGATATTTTTTGAATTCAGGAAAGACGTGGCCCCGAAAAACGGAAACTGCACGTCTTTCGCCCCGCGCACCAGACGGAGCACGCCTGCAGGCGGCCTAGATTTACAGCTGCGGGGTGAAACTATCATACCTTCGACGTCCTTTGACAGACCAGACGTCGCGTTTCGTCGGGGGAGGAGGGAGGTGAAGGGAGAGGAGGAAGCAAAGTGGGAGGAGGAGGAGAAGGAGGAGGAGGAGGAGGAGGAGGAGCAGGTGGAGGAGAATGTCTCCGCATCTACCACGCAGCCCCGACAGCCGGCCGAGGGAAAACTTCAGGTCCGACCTGTAAGAGTTGCAGGCCGCATCCAACCAACCCCGCATCTCCCACGGCCCACGTCCCCCGTCGCTCCTTCCTCCCCCCTCCCAATGACCTGCGCGCGGCAGCCGGGCCTCGCTGGCGCGTGCACAGCAGGATCGCACGCAATGTGGGTGACGAGGATTTGCCACTCCTGGAGCGCCCGCGCCGCGTGCAAGTGAAAAAAGTGCCGCGCGGACGAGCTCCGCATCGCATCGAATCCTACCCCTGGGCCTGCCTAAACAACGTGCTGCTGCTTAGCACTTTGGCACTCTACATGGGCGCATCCCTTCATGGAGGAGCACGCAGGGAAGAAGATGAGACGAGGGGAGATAAGGGAACACGCGGGAGACATGCAGTAGTAAGTGCAATAGCTGGCGCCTGGATGAAATAGCTTGCGCACTGGATGCAATACTTGCGCATGGGTGAAACTGCGTATGATTTTCGCAATTACAATAACATGTTGACGCTCACTGTGGAGGCCCCCCGCACCGCCCGCACCTCTCGCGTGCTATTGCACGAAGCAGGTTGAAACTGAGCGCGGGTGGGCGCGCGCGCCTCCGGCTATCCTCCCCTCCCTCCATCCCTCCTGCCCTCCACCCTCCCGCCACTCCTCGGTGCCAATTTGGGCAGGCGCTCTCAGCTCAGAGTCTCAAAGCATCGCCACGACTGCCCCAGGCGGCCCGCAGCGCCGCCTTTCCGTCCCTGCCGACGCCGTTGATGTACAGGTTCAGCACCTGCAGGCCCGGCAGGGCGGGCAGCGCCCCAGCCAGGGCCTGCGCGCTCTCGGCGCCGATGCTGTTGTTGTGCAGGCTTAGCACCTGCATGCCGGGCATGGAGGGCAGTGCCTCCGCCGGGGCCTGTGAGCCCTCGGCGCCGGTGCTGTTGTTTCCCAGGTCCAGCTCCTGCGGGCTGGGCATGGAGGGCAGCAACCGCGCCAGGGCCTGGGCGCCCTCGGCGCCGATGCTGTTGATGTACAGGTTCAGCACCTGCAGGCCAGGCATGGAGGGCAGCGCCCCCGCTGAGGCCTGCGCGCCCTCGGCGCCGATGCGGTTGTTTCCCAGGTCCAGCTCCTGCAGGCTGGGCAGTGAGGGCAGCGCCCCCGCCAGGGCCTGTGCGCCCTAGTCGCCGATGCTGTTGTTGTACAGGCTCAGCTCCTGGAGGCCGAGCAGGAAGGACAGCGCCGCCGCCAGAGCCTGCGCGCCCTCGGCGCCGATGCTGTGGCCGTCAAAGCTCAGCATTTTTCAGGCCGGGCAGTGAGGGCAGCGCCCCCGCCAAGGCCTGCGCACCCTCGGCGCCGATTCTGTTGCTGTACAGGCTCAGCACCTGCAGGCCGGGCAGGGAGGGCAGCGCCCCCGCTCAGGGACTGCGCGCCCTCGGCGCCGATGCTGTTGTTGTACAGGCTCAGCTCCTGCAGGCCGGGCAGGGAGGGCAGCGCCCCCGCCAGGGCCTGCGCGCCCTCGGCGCCGATGCTGTTGTTGTACAGGCTCAGCTCCTGCAGGCCTGGCATGGAGGGCAGGGACCCCGCCAGGGACTGCGCGCCCTCGGCGCCGATGCTGTGGCCGTCAAGGCTCAACATGTTCAGGCCTGACAAGGAGGGCAGCGCCCCCGCCAGGGCTTGTGCGCCCTCGGCGAAGATGCTGTTGATGTACAGCTCAGGACCTGCAGGCCAGGCAGGGAGGGCAGCGCCCCCGCCGGGGCCTGCGAGTGCTCGGCGCCGATGCTGTTGATGTACAGGCTCAGCACCCGCGGGCTGGGCATGGGGGGCAGCGCCCCCGCCAGGGCCTGCGCGCCCTCGTCGCCGATGCTGTTGTTGTACAGGCTCAGCTCCTACAGGCCGGGCAGGAAGGACAGCGCCGCCGCCAGAGCCTGCGCGCCCTCGGCGCCGATGCTGTGGCCGTCAAAGCTCAGCATTTTTCACGCCGGGCATAGGGGGCAGCGCCCCCGCCAAGGCCTGCGCACCCTCGGCGCCGATGCTGTGGCCGTCAAGGCTCAACATTTTCAGGCCTGGCAAGGAGGGCAGCGCCCCCGCCAGGGCCTGTGCGCCCTCGGCGAAGATGCTGTTGATGTACAGCTCAGGACCTGCAGGCAGGGCAGTGAGGGCAGCGCCCCCACCAAGGCCTGCGCGCCCTCGGCACCAATCCTATTGCTGTACAGGCTCAGCACCTGCGGGCTGGGCATGGAGGGCAGCGCCCCCGCCAGGGCCTGCGCGCCCTCGTTGCCGATGCTGTTGTTGTACATGCTCAGCACCTGCAGGCCGGGCAAGGCGTGCAGCGCCCCCACCCAGGGACTGCGCGCCCTCGGCGCCGATGCTGTCGCTGCCCAGGTCCAGCTCTTGCAGGCTAGCATGGAGGGTAGGCCCCCCGCCAGGGCCTGCGCGCCCTCGGCGCCGATGCTGTTGATGTACAGGTTCAGCACCTGCAGGCCTGGCATGGAGGGCAGGGCCCCCGCCATGGCATGCGTGCCCTCGTCGCCGATGCTGTCGCTGCCCAGGTTCAGCTCCTGCAGGCCAGGTAGGGAGGGCAGGGCCCCCGCCAGGGCCTGCGCGCCCTCTTCACCGATGCTGTCACTGCCCAGGTTCAGCAGCTGCAGGCTGGGCATGGGGGGCAGCGCCCCTGTCTGGGCCTGCGCGCCCTCCTCGCCGATCTCGCGCTCTGCAGGTTCCAGCTGCTCCAGGCGGGCGCACAGACGCAGGCAGCCGGCGACCCCCGCGGCCTGCTCGGGGGTCGGGGGCGGCATCCCAGTGAGGTCCAGCGTCATTGCGCCGCCCAGCTGCGCGCGGTTCATCCGGAGGACGAGCGCCTTCACCGCCGCCCGTTCCGCGCCGTTGGTGAAGGACCTGTCCTCGATGAGCCGGTCGAACTCGTCGTGGCCCACTGGCCACCTCCTCCCGGCCTTCGTCGCCCCCGTCCCCTGCCCCAGGTTGGCCACGGCGTTCCAGAACGCCTCCCAACTGATGCCCTGCTTCGTCTGCTCCGCGGAACAGCGCTCGTATGTCGTCCAGCCAGACTGGTCGTAGCCGCACTCGCGCGCGCTGCCACGCTCGCGGGGGTGAGCAGGAGAACGGTGGTGGCGTGGCGGGCGTGCCAGAGGTCCATTGTCTCCTCCAGCCCATGCTTGAAGGCGGCTTTCTCGGGGGGGGTCCGCTTGACCTCGTCGGCGGCCTCCTGCGCGTCCTTCTCGGTTTTGCCCTGCCACACGGCGGCGGCCTTCGCCTCCTCGGCCTTGATCGGGTCGCCCTGCAGTAGCGAGGGCTTGTCCCAGAAGACTCCCATCTCGCTGAACCCCTGAAGGTTGAGCAGGTTGTGGAGAGTGTGTGGCGCTCTTTCTCCAGGGTGTCAATCGCCAAACTCAGCTACACCCCATTGGGGTCGGGATGCTCGCGTGAGTCCCAGCAGAACGAGATGGTGACGATCGGCGCCACCTGGTCTATTCCTCCTTGCCCGCCGGCCTTCCAGACGGCCCGCAGCTCGTCCGCGGACACGGACGCCTCCTCCAGCAGCTCCTGGCGCCTATTCAGGACCGTGCCACGCTGCTGCAGCAGCCACGACATGCGGACCAAGCGCACAGGGTGGAGGCCCTCTACGGTGAACGCGAGCGCGTCGAAGAGGCTCGCGGCGTCCGTGCACCGCGTCAGGTCGAACGACTCCTGCTCCTCCTTCTTGGGAACCTCCTGCTAGGTGCTGCTGGTCGACGGGCTCCACCAGAGATTCGGGCAAGGCGTCAGCAACAAGGCAGCTAGGACGGGCCGCTTCGGCTTCGGAGCAGTAGCTGGCGCCTGGAACTCAATGGAAACCTAAGGCAAGCTAAAGCTTCCAGGGCGGCCTATGCGGTCTTCTAAGACGGTCGGGGCGTCCTTCGAAGAACCAGCCAACCTTGGTGATGATGTACCCCTGCATGCGATTATAAGGCCCCCCTCCCCCGCCCCTCCACCGCTGTGCTTGCCGCTGAAGAATAACCTCTGCGACACACTGGTGACGAGAAAAAGATCAACGAGCAGGCGAGCACGCGATGCGACCGACTCAAAGCGACCAGGAGACGAAGAGGAGAGAGGAGAGGGGGAGAACCCCACCGGCGACCAACGAGCAAGCAAGAAGATGCCGTGCCATGCGGGCTCCCGCGTCATCTGGAGCCGCCCGCCCCCCCATAACGCGCATGCCATCTCCCTGATCCTCCTCCTGCTTCAGCCCCTCGAGGAGGGTGCCGGCGATGTACCGACAGCGAGCAGGACCCCTGCCAGGCCTGGCTCTGGGCCCAAGACCAGCTCGTGTACGACTTGCTGGCTGGGCCCGACAGGCGTGTGCACGGGCGCTGGCCGAAACACTGGTCGCGCTTCACGTGCGGTGGTCTGCGCGTCGGGGCAGCGCGCCGATTCTGGCAAGGTTCGGGGGCCCAGAAGGTGCCCAGACCCTCGTGCTCCTCTCCGCGGACAAGGGCGGCGTCGAACAGCTTCTCCCCCCGCGCGCGCGCAAAATCGGTGCGTCCCCCCAACCGCCGCCCAACCGCCCCAATCACCAATACAGCGGGAATCGACAGATATTTCGGCTGATGTCTATTGACCTTGACCCTGGGCCCAGGATTGGTCAGGCCCGGATCGCTATCGATGTACCCTCCAAGAAGTTGAGACACAACACGCACGCACACACACACACACACACACACGAACACACACACACAAAACCCGCCCGGCGGCGCGTTCCGCCCCCCCTCCCCCGCGCGCGAATACCGAACCCACACCCAGACGCGAGCCTTTTCCCCCCACGCCACGCCAAGGGCAGCCAGCTCATACAGTAGAACCGCACGATCTGAAATCATGCCAGAAGAACTCGAAAGCTCTAAGCGCACTGTCCACCCTCTGAACCCTCCTGAGGTGCAGCAGGACTCCTGCGAGCCCCAAGGGCCATCGCAAGATGAGAGACTTCTGCGGGGCATTCGCTGGCAGGCCCGCTTCTCACCCGACGCCCCCCCCCACCACACCACACCCACACCCCTCGTCGACTGTGCCCACCCCGCGCAGTCTACCACACCCCTACGCTGGCTGAGCAGCTCGGCGTGCCCTGCCTCCCCCGGCGCCCCTCACTCCTGACAGGGCGCGAGAGAAGGAACTCCCTCCGGGGAGAGAGGAGGGACGGGAGGGGGGAGGAGAGAGAAGGGAGGAGGGAGGAGGGAGGAGAGAGGAGGGACGGGAGGAGGGAGGAGAGAGGAGGGACAGGAGGAGGGAGGCGGGGAGCGACGACAACGAACGACGAACCACCTCATCGGACAGCTGTCCAGGCCTTCCCAAGACCAGATGGGGGAGGCCATGGCCTCGTGGACCTGGTACCCATGAAAACGTAGACAGGATCGGAACTGCGGGACACGCATCGGGAAGGAGGAGGAGGAGGAGGAGGAGGAGGAGGAGGAGGAGGAGGAGGAGGAGGAGGAGGAGGAGGAGGAGGAGGAGGAGGAGGAGGAGGAGGAGGAGAGAGGGACGGGGCCATTCCGCGCGGCCGCGCGACAGCAGCCCGCGCAGGTCCCGAAGACGTGGGCCGCGGCCGCCGAGGCCTCCTCCTCGCCTTGGTGCGGAGCGGCGGGGCCTGTGAGGCCAGAGCGTTGTGCGCATCCCACCGCCCTGGGGGTGACTGGCTCCCCGGTGCCCCAGGGACATCGGCATGCGGGCGGGGCCACGGTGACAAATGCTGCTGCCGCTGCTGCTTCGCTTGCGTATTCCCCCCCCGGCCTCCTCCCTCCTCCGTCCGTTTCCTCCTCCGGATTCCATCCCCCTCCTCCTCCTCCTCCTCCTCCTCCTCCTCCTCCTCCTCCTGTTTTCTTCCTCTCCTCCGCCTCCTCCGTTCTTCTCCCTCTCCTCCTCCTCCTCCTCTTTCTCCTCCTCCTCCTCCTCCTCCTCCTCCTCCTCCTCCTCGGGACATCTTGTGCGATAAGAAGAAAGCGAAGATGCAGCACAGACTTCGCACAATGGAAGAGGTCGACGTGAAACGCATGGACATCACAAAGATGAGAAGGAGGTGGTGGACATATGAGCGATAAGAAGATCGGCGCTGCCGCAACGCAGAGATGGGAAAAGGAAAGGACGAGAAGGAGGAAGGGAGAAACAAGGAACGAAACGGGGCTGCGCGCCTAACCCATCCGCTGTCTAACTCACCCAATCTAATGCATCAGATGCGTCTCACCGGGGCTAATCCGTCCTGTAACTAACTCGCCCAGTCAAACTCACCCAGGCCCACCCCATCCAAAGCCAAAATCGTCCAATGTCCGAACTCATCCGGTGCCTAACTCATCTGGTGACAAACTCATCATGAGCCTAGCTCATTCAATGACAAACTTACCCGGTGCCCTAACGCATCCGATGCTCTAACTCATCCAATGACAAGCTCACTCGGTACCCAATCTTATCCAGTGCCCTACTCATCCGGTGCCGAATGCATCGGTCCGTCACTCATCGGGTGCCGTAAACTCATCCAACCAACACCTGGATGGGCAGGCCCGTATATGCTTGACTACAATCCGATTTGTAGTCAAGAAAATTATGGCGCCCCATCTGCCCAGGGACACCCCCAAGAAATCCTCCAGAATAGCCTCGGGAAGCAGGGAGCACGCAACGTCGCCTTCAAAGACATCCAAGAATAACGAACATGAGTCAACATTCGCTTGACTACAAGCCGCTAATTCTGGCCCCCCGTCTGCCCCAGGAAACCCTCAAGTAACCCCCAGACAAGCATTGGGAAGCAGAGAGCCCTCAAGAGACATCCTAAAATAACTCAGAACAGGAGCCCAAAGAGACCCCCAAGAGGCCCCCAAGAGGCCCCCAAGAGGCCCCCAAGAGGCCCCCAAGAGGCCCCTAGAGGCCCCCAAGAGGCTTCAAATAGGCCCCATAGAGCGCTCGAGGGCCGGCGGAATGAGCGAAGCGATTAAATAACTCACAATTTGCGTAACTACAATCCGCTCGAAATCAAGCAAGTTCTGGTCCCCCATCTGCGCCACGATACACCCAAGAAGCCATCCAGCATGGCTTTGGGAAGCAGCGAGCCCCAACGCTGGCTTCAAACACAAGATAGCTCGCCGCTTGGGCCCCACTGCCAGCCCAAACGGCAAGCATAAATCGGGCTTAGCTCCGCACGCATTCGAATGCCCACAATTTGTCCTCGTACTACTCGTATTCCTCCCCGTCATGCTCCCCATCCTGATCGTCGTCGTCATTATCCTCCGTGTCCACTTCCTCATCCTCCTCGTCCTCCTCCTGCTCCAGCTCCTCCTCGTCGTCCTCGTCTAAGATCTCGTCCTCGTTTCTCCTCTTTGCTCCTCCTGCTAATCCCCCTTCTCCTGGCACATAGGTTGCGCCATAAGCTGCGCCCTCGACGGCCGAGAAGACAACCGTCTCCTTCCGGTTGTGCCATAAGCTGCGCCCTCGGCAACCGAAAATGAGACGGTCTCCGATCGGTTGCGCCATAGGTTGCGCCCTCGGCGGCCGAAGAAAAACCGTCTCCTATCGGTTGGCGCCACAGGTTGCGCCCTGGGCGGCCGAGAAGAAGACCGTCTCCGATCGGTTGCGCCGTAGGTTGCGCCCATGGCGGCCAGAATAATACCGTCCCCTATCGGTTGCGACATAGGTTGCGCCCTCGGCGGCCGACAAGCAAAACTGTCTCCTATCGGTTGCGCCATAGGTGGCGCCCTGGACGGCAGAGAAAACCGTCTCCTATCGGTTGCGCCGAAGGTTGCGCTTTCGGCAGCCGGGAAGAAAACCATCTCCTATCGGTTGCGCCACAGGTTGCGCCCTCGGCGGCCGAGAAGAACACCGTTTCTTATCGGTTGCGCCATAGGATGCGCCCTTGGCGACCGAGAATACATGCGTCGCGTAACGGGTGGCACCAGTCAATTCAATTCAGTGGGTTCGCCTCGCGAACAAAAAAAACAAACTGGGGCTACGCCGATAAGACACCAAAGGAAAACAAACACGTAATCCGAACATTGCTGGACTACTCAAAGTTTGCATGACTACAAACCGTTTTGTAGTCAAGCAAAGTCTGGTTCCCCTCTGCCGCAGGACATCCCCAAGAAACCCTCCAGAATAGCCTCGGGAAGCAATGAGCTCCCAACGTCGGCTTCAAAGACATCCAAAACTAACTAAAAACAGCATGAACAAATGCTTGACTACAAACCGCATATTCTAGCCCCCCATCTGCCCCAAGACACCCCCAAAGATCCTCCAAAATAGCCTCCGGAAACAGCGCGCCCCCAACGCCGGGTTCAAAGACATCCAAAAGTAACTCAAAATGTG